AGTGTATCAACGTAACCCCAATATGGGGTTATGAATAACACCGTATTAAAGATCCAACAATAACTCCTGACGACAACTTACGACCGTCATATTGAGAATATGACTTTTTTCAAACACCTGAAATTCTCTCCTTTCAACTTCCCCCTATGGCAGTGGTGGCCAACTAACGCACTTGCAACACTCTACTACGGCTTAGTGACCAACTTCATTCATTATAGCCTTCTGCTATGTCTCTTGTGGTTCTGTGTCGTGTATTGCACAAGAATGGTGTAGGTTCGAATCCAATACCATAGATCTATTTTTCTAAAAAATCTAAACAAGACAATTTCAAATCGAACACGAGCCAAACACGAACAAGAATATGTAAATCAAGACGAACCTAAAGACTATTTATGAGCATTTCGAACATGAGCCAATTTCAAACGAACTGAACACGAGCCAAGTTTGAGCTGGCTCAAACTCGACTTGTTTACAGTCCTTATTACCTATGTGACCAACTACAATCAACATGGCTCATAGTCCACGCATCTTCCAATATCGGCCCTTGTGGCCTACGGATATTATTGCAGCTCATCACCACGACCTATAAGACCACCAACGGCTCGTGAGGCTCACAACTCACGCAACTCTCAACTTCAGCCTTTATGACCTACAAACATTATTACAACTCGCCACTAAGATCTATTGATACTGGAGTTAACCCAAAAACCACAACAAAATGATAATTTTATTGTTGAAATTCAAAGGGGTCACAAAAAAGAAAATTAAAAAAAAGGGAAACAATGACACTAATACAAAAGACTCTCTAGGTCGGGAATCAATAATGGTTGGTGGATTGTGTGTCAAGATAGTGAAAACCGAGAACTGTAGGTGGTATGGAGGGTTTGTGGTAGTGATGAGAAGGTCGGTTGGGGACAGGACAATAGACAGAAGGTTGCTACAGCACACAGTGGCAATCCAGGAAAGTGGTGTGAGTGCTAGACAAGAAGCAGGGCGTAGCGGCAAGATGTCGCAGCAGTGCAACAGTAAACAAAGGGTGTTGGGCAGCAAGTTGAAGGCGGTGGAAGGTGCGGTAAGTAGCCGGAATTGGATTGGGATGATTAGACAACAAGCAACGAATTGCGTGATAGTGCAGAAGCAAGCAATGACGGCTGAAAGGTAGAAAATAGCAAGAGTGTAATAACAAGACAACTTTTATGGGCGGATGAATCTGGGATGGAGCGGCTGGGAGCGATATGGGAGGATGCGGAAGGGGGTAGGGAAAGATAAGCATCACCTAAGGAGAGGGATACAACCGAAACACCACTCAAACCCTTGGATACAGCCCTCGAAGGAATAAAAACAAATGTTGACGGCTATAAACAAAACAATTAAAAAAAATGAATCCAAATTCTAATACACACATATATAGGAAATGATTAAAGTGAAACAAAGGATGATAGAAAAGAAATCATAAAAGGAAAACAAGGCTTACGCCCGTCTCCCACCTCCTGCGCTCGTAGGAGCCACAGTAATGTACCGTATTGTAGCATAAGTCGTATAAGCAAGGAGGGGAAGTGGAGTGAGCTTTGAAATTATTTGTCAAAGCTTCTGTCTCTTCATGGTAGTCAGGTTGGTCATGTTGGTGGCGAGCTATAATAACTTTTCAGAAAGTCACTCTTGTTGCATTGTCATTCCAAAGCACATCCTTATAAAATAGATATCCATCTACTTTTGACACAACCTAAGATGTAATTTCCTAAAGTAACTCTCGGGTCATTAGTTTCGTAATTTGACTCTTCCCTTTCTTGTAATTGACGAGATGTATCTAGTAAACAAGTATGTAAGAAGGATTCAACTTTGGGACGAAAACTATGGCAGGTTGTGCCACTCTCACTAGAAGCCACTCAGGAGAGATGTCGTCTTCTCTAAGTTGCCTTGTGTCTAGAGTCTACTCCTCAATCTCAAGTTTGAAATCTTCTTAAGTTGTCTTGTGTCTAGAGTCGACTTCTCAATCTCATGGCTCATTTGAATATCCAAAACCATTTCTGTTGATGCTCCTCTGAACGGTTGTCAATAATGTAGTCTAAAGCACCATAATCTCATCCTTTGCAAGAACAACTATTCCATCGAATTCACTACCTTCTAGAACTACTACTCTCAACTCAGCTGAAATGTCTCCTAAGTTCCACTCGAATTGATGGTGTCTTTTCCTCATAGGCTGGCAGCTGTTACTCTTTTATGTCCTCACTTGTCTCTACTATGTCATTGCTCATTTCTTCAACTGCTCTCTGATCTGTGAAAGAGATTAGTCTTTTGGTTGTACAATCTGATTCAATACGCCCAAATCTGTAGCAATTAGAGACATTTCTTGGCTGGGATGGATTTGGGAAAGCGAATCAATTCCCTTTCTCCACTTTGAACTAGTGTCTCCTCAGACAAGGTCAGCTTGGATGTTCCTCTAGGTGTACTCTGACTGTACGATTCTGAGGTTGAACCCTGCCTGTAAAATGTGGTAGTCGCCCTATGATATGGTCTCTCCACATGTAAAACTAAGGTATGAACACCACAATCAGGTTTTTGATGATAATTTCTTTGGTGACATGGCTAGTTTTTTGGTGAGGGAAGGTGAAAGGTGTGGAAAAGTGATGTAGGGTGAGAAAGAAAATTTTAGATGGAGATAAGTTCAAGTTTGGCGGATGTTAGAAACTCTAGTATAAGATTTGTGTTAGGTTAACTTTGATACTAAATGATACCGGAGTTAACCCAAAAACCACAACGGAATGATAATTTTATTGTTGAAATTCAAAAGGGTTACAAACAATACACTTAAAAATAGGAAAACAAGGAAACCAATACAAAACTCTCTAGGGTGAAGAAAAAACGGTGGTTTGCTGCGTGTCAAGGTAGTGGAAACAGAGAATTGTAGGTGGTAGAGAGGGTTCGCGGTAGCAAGGGGAAGGTGGGTTGGTCATAAGATAACGAAAATAAGGTTGTTGAAAGTTGAAACGCGTTGCAACAAGCCGGGAAGTGGTGTGACGGTTGGACAGCAAGTGACAAGGTGCGACAATCAACAATGGGGTAGTGGGAGGGTGCAGTAGCAAGCTAAAATTGGCCTGCGACGACTGGATAACAAGCAGGGGATTGCGGGATGGTGCAACAGCAAGCAACAACAGCTAGAAGGTAGAAAACTGCAAAAAGAAACAACATGATAGCTTTTTCGGATGGCTGCAGACAGTATGGAGCAGTCGGGAGCAATGTGGGAGGATGCGGAAGGGGTAGGGGAAGATAAACTCCACTTCGGGAGAGGGATATAGCCGGAGCACCACCCAGACCCTCAGATACAGCTCTCGAAGAGAGAAAAACGGACATCGGCGACTGCCCTAATCAAAACACATGGAAAAAATACAAATTCAAACTCTAATACATGCATAAATATAAAATGACTAAAATGAAGAATAATAGGAAAGAATTCATAAAAGGAAAAAGAGGCTAACAGCCTGTCTCCCATCGCGCACGGTATTGTACCTTTAGTCTCAAAAAGAGGGGGAGAGGGGTTGGGGCGCGTCCAACTACCATGTCATCTATGTGATCAACTATGGCTTGCGTGGCTTACAGCTCAAGCAGCTCCCAAATTCGGCCTCTCTGTAGTTTGTAAATATTATTGCAGCTCCCAACTCCAACCTCTATAGCCTATAAATATTATTATAGCTCACTATCACGACATATGTGACCAACTACGGCCTACACAACTGAAAATTCACATAGCTTCTAACTCCGACCCTTGTGGCCGATAAAAGTTACTGCAGCTCATTCTTATGATCTATATGACCAACTACGTGCAACGTGGCTCATAGCTCGCATGCCTCTGTGGCCTACAAACAATATTACAGCTCTTAACTCTAATCTCTATGGCCTACATAAACTATTGTAGCTCACCATTACGGTTTGTGTGACCAATTATGACCTATATGACTTACAGCTAACGTAACTTCCAACTCTGGTCCCTGTGACCTACAAAAGTTATTGTAGTTCACCCTTATGACCTATATGACCAACTACACGTGACTCACAATTCATGTGCCTTTGTGGCCTATGTACATACACTATTGCAGCTTCCAACTCCGGCCTCTATAGCCTAAGGACTTCATTGTAGTTCATCACCACAACTTATGTGATTAACTACGACCTAAGTGACTCATAACTCATACAACTTCCAACTCCAACAACTATGGCCTATGGACATTAGTGCAGCTCTCTACTAAGGCCTACATGGCTGACTGTTGTCATTACAAACCTCAGCTATGGCCTTAGTGACCAACTAACGCTATGGCAGCTCACTATTGAGGTATATGTGACGTGACTCACAACTCGGGTAACTTCAACTACAATCTACCTGACTCATTGCTACTGCAGCTTTTAATTATAGCCTTGGTGGCCAACTAATGTTAATACAACTCTCCACTACAACCTATATGGCCAACCGACATTCCTGAAGCTACAATGACCTATATAGCCAACAACTACTACGACTTTCAATTACGAACCCTACGACAAGCTAAGGCTATTACAACCATCAAGAACTACATTTGTTGTAGCTCATATACAACTATCAAAACCGGGCCACTATTTTACTTCTGCAATTCAATCTTTCCTACTTTGAGAAGAGTTAGCCTATGTACTCACAATTATCTAGTGGACTACTTCGCCTGGGCCAGGTCTCGTGATATTTTCCCTCTAAGATTTTTCACGTAAAAAATCATTGTGTCTCCTCATATTACTTCTCTATTACTTGTGCGCGCGCCAACTTTTCATACAACGCTAAAAACTAATTTAAGACTCTACCACCGTGAATATTTCAGCACGCAACAAAAAGGTTATTGTTGTTGTTGTTGTTGCAACAAAAAAGTTTATTCCTTACAAATTTAAAATTAACATAAAATAATTTATGAATTATCACTCATAAATAAATAATATTGTAGATAAACCAATATTTTTTACGAGAAATCAGCCCAACTCACATTACTAAAACCCCTTCACCCTTAAACTAAAAAGATACCAATAAATCAGCAAATAAAAACCCATATGGACAAGCAAACAAACAGTTGGCTAAGGCGTATTGGCCAAAACAAAATTGATAAACTTTCAGGGACTTCATCCTATAAGAGCCCGTATACAAGTGAGACCCATTGCCCTTTCAGATTTGACACAAAAAGTGGACTTCCTGATCATAAAAAGCAGTATGATGTGCAAAAAGAACTATACAAAAAAAATGCATGTTAGAGAGCCTAGCTTACCTAAAGAAGCAAGGCGGCAAAACCATCCATGTCAAGCTAAACAGATCGTCGTGATCAAATTTCTTCTGCCATATGGCTCCCACAGCTACCGTGCTGAATTAGCAGCTTTAGTCCAGGCATCATTCTGGCTTGGTGCTGCTTCACTGAAGCTGTTGTGATTAGGGCTTTGGCTTCGGCTTCGACTACGATATCCACCATCGTCGTCAGTCGGGCCTGGACTGAAACTAAGGTAGCAGCCACCGCTGTCACCACCACCATTTCCCCCATAGTTTCTATGATGCTCATTTCTGTGATCACCATTACTATCTTGATCCTGACGTCCAAGAGAGTATCTGTAAATGTCATCAAATATGTGCAGATAACAGCATTTTCAGCAAAGGAACTGGAAAGCTAATTTATATCAATTTGCATGAGAAGCAACAATGTAGCTCAGAAAGATTACTAGCGTTTAAATGAGCAAATATAAACAATGATAAGAACTACTTAAATAACAAGAACCACAAAAGTGATAACCATAGAATGATGCAACGTTATGCAAATATTGTTATCGAATTGAAGCAAAGAAGAAATTTTTGAGTGGTTAAAGTAAATATTTATTTAGAAACCTGTCCTGTGAAGAGCCCTGATCATTATAGCCATAACTGGAATCAGACGCCCACCGTCGGAATTTTGTTCCGTAACTACTGCGGGATGCCATGTCCCGTAGCTCTGAAGGAACTTGTTGATCTGCCCCTTCCAACACTTTAACGAGATCTGAGGCATGCTTCGAATCCTGGTCACAAAAAAATGTGTAAGCCACTCCAGTTGCACCAGCTCTACCAGTTCTTCCAATTCTGTGGACATAGTCTTCAACACCAGTAGGGAAATCATAATTAATCACAAACCTGGGAAAAAGAATTCAACCCCAGTGGGGAAATCATAATCAGTCACAAATCTGGGAAAAAGAAAAGGTAATAGTGATATCACATCACCTCCATCTTATTGCCTGCAAAATTCTTAAGGAATATATAATAAAAATGCAAATCTAAGTTTCAAGTTTTAGATAGTTACAAATTCCTCAATTTAACTGAGCGCATTTGCAAAGCTATAAATGAATGAAGAATATTACAATAAACAGATAAGCAGGCCACATATGACATGCATTGGTTTTGCAAAGATGAAAAGAACATAGCTTGAATAGTTACCACTAGCAACCTGGATTACAAAATTTAAATAGCTTGTTTGAGAACAATTTTGTTTTTTTTCTTGTCTTTATTTTTATTTTTTATTTTGTTTTTAAAAAAGATATTTGTTTAAAGTGTTTTTTATATGTATTATTTTTTATTTCTAAAAACAAATTAACATATATTTGAGAACACTTGAAATAGCTTTCACATATTTTTGAGTGCTTTAAAAAATTGCCATATTTTAATCAATATGTCAATCATATTTTATTTCAAATCAAAACATAAAGAAAACATTAAAAAAAAGAAATAAATATAAAACAAAAGTGATCTCAAACAGTATCAAAGAATTCAGATTTGCATCAACCTGATATCTTTAATATCCAATCCACGTGCTGCCACATCAGTTGCCACAAGTATGGGTGACTTCCCACTTCGAAAGTCACTAAGCACCCGATCACGCTCCATCTGAGACTTGTCACCATGAATTGCAGAAGCACCAAATGGACCTTCAAGATACTCAGCAAGCTGATCACACATTCTCTTCGTAGAACAGAACACGATGTATTTCGATGGGCCGTTCGAAAGCAAAATCTGTTCCAGTCTGCGTCGCTTCTGCATGTTTGAAATGACCTCTACATGCTGTAATTGATCAAAACGAAAATCATTCAGCGAAACGATATAATAAATTTTCAGCTCATGTAATAATGACACCAAAAAATAAGTTTTAAGCTCATGTAATAAAAAATGGGCAAATTAGTAGAGCTTCCAGAGCCACTGTATATACCTGGGTAATAGCTTTATTCGCAGCAAGTTCGTCTACGCTGCCAATATTAATCTGAACTGGTTTAACAAGTAAATCCGATGCAATCTTTCTGACCTCCTTTGGCCAAGTAGCAGTGTACATAAGAGTCTGGCGCCTGGGTGGTATTTCTTTCACAATCTTCCGTATCTGTGGTTCAAAACCCATGTCGAGCATGCGGTCAGCCTCATCAAGAACGAGGTATGAGACTTGATCAAGGTTCAACCTTTTCATCTCTAAAATGTCATTCAGCCTTCCAGGAGTTGCAACCACGACATGGACTCCACGGTCAATATCTCTCAACTGGGGACCTTTAGGAGCTCCACCATACAAACACTTAGACATGTAACATCAAAAACTTGATCAATTGAGATATAGAGAATCAATAACTTCATGATAATTAGGAATAGTATCATATAGCACAAAACAATGGGATATAAGGGCACAACTGTAAATTCCTATAGTACGGCAATATAAATATCTTTTACCAGGGGAAGTTGATAATTTGATAGACTGGGTCACCGTATAGAAACTTACAGCACATAAAATTCGTGAAGATTTTCCAAACTTAGTAGCTTCATCATGTATTTGAGTCGCCAATTCTCTGGTTGGTGACAAAACCAGAACAGTCGGGCCCATTCTAGCATCTTTATTCAGGCGCTTAAGATGGATGAAACCCGGAATAAGATAACCCAATGTTTTGCCTGATCCTGTTTTAGCAACAGCGACAATATCACGGTCCTGCAAAGCGATTGGCCATGATTGTGCTTGGATCGGAGTAGGTGCAGAAAAACCAGCATGACCTATCTGCAAAACAAAAAACGTACCAAATGTCATGAGGAAGCAGTTCATTTTAACACGGAACATTCAGACAAGACTATAGTTCAAAGCTGCAAAAGAAACATGTTAAGCATGAAACAGACTAAACTAAACCAAAGAAAAACCCAGGTCCTACAAAGTAGCACAAAAGAATCATCATGGATCACAAATAATTTCTCTTTGGAATTTTGAAAATCCATTTGGACTGTTTCATTTGCAGCGGCGGTTAGTCCTTTCAAACAATTCCCATTAGAAAACACGTCAAATAGCATTGACATAAATCAGTAATAATTATCAATAAAACAATGGGGAAAACCACAAGATTGATTAGGTATTGCAGAAAAAAAGATATATTCCTTAAGAAAAACCAAAGTGCTGATGATATACAGATATAAGTGCCTTTGAATATAGAGATTACATGCTAAAATAAATTCATATTAGAATATTAGAATAATAACGGCTATCCATAGCCGTCATTAATATGCAGATATTTATATTATTTATTTTATTTGTTTTTTTATTCATCTTTATTCTGTTTTTATTTATTTTCTTATGAGTGTCCCTTGTAATAGAGGTTTATATACCCCTATTTCTATCAATAAGATATGCAGCTCTACTTCAATATTTCAACATAGTATTAGAACTGGGTTCAAACCCTAGATCCTAGCCACCCTCAGCCTTCACTGTAGGATCTCCCGTAGGGACTCCTAGATGTCGGCCCTTCCCTGCTATCTCCTGCAGCCACCAGCCCTCTCGAGTTGTCTCCTACAATTACCAGCCTCCTTGACAACCGTTGGCCTCTCCTGTAGTCGCCAAACTCCTTGCAATGTAGATTCTCCCACTGGCCTTCCCTGCAGGTCCTCCCGGTTGTTTTCTCTGGCGCTTGTTTTCTCCTGTAGTTTTCTGGATTACCTGCATTTTTATTCGTCAGTCGGTGACCTACAGTTGAAATTCGGTTATGTCTCGAAATCCCAACCACATCTCCTTTGGCTCAATTGGAATCATGGCAAACTCCTCTAGCACTAAGCCATCCTCAGAAAGCATTCTTGATTTCACCGAAGATTCGACTCCAACCTCCGTTCAAACCACTGTTCCAGTGCAGACCCGAGGACTAGAAATCAACTTGGACTTCTTGATCACAACTCACAAACTAAACAACGATAATTTTCTCCAATGGTCCCAAGTGGTGTCCTTATTCATCAAGGGGCGCGAGAAATTCAATTACCTCATAGGTATGATCTGAGAACCTCCATAAACTGACTCGACAAATGGAAATTGAGAAAAGGAGAACATGATTGGATGCTCCCAAACTTTCTCTAATCTATGGATCATTGATTTTGGCTTCACTGACCACATGATTGGATGCTTTAAAACTTTCTCGACATAGTATCCATGTTCTGAAAAAAAACAGTCATAATTGAAGATGACTCTGATAGTTTCATTACTGGTAAAGGTGTGTTGTTCTAACGACTAGTCTAACTCTGGAATCTGTGTTACATGTCCCACTATTGAAATGTAACATTTTATCTGTAAGTTGACATGACATTGATTGTGTTACTCATTTCTCTCCCGATGTTTGTATCTTTCAGGATCGTCGTTCGAGGATGATAAAAATGCTAAGCGAGTAGCCAGACTCTACTATTTCAAAAAAAAAAGCATGAAGAATGAGAACATAGCACTTGGTAGTTGTAATTTATCCCGAGTCATTAAATGTCTCATTATGTTGTTGCATTGTCGCTTAGGTCATCCTAATTTTTAGTATTTAAAACATTTGTGTCCATTGATGTTTTCTAATAAAAGTCATTCTAGTTTTAATTGTGAGACGTGTCAGTTAACCAAACATCATCGGGTTCATCACCAATCCCACACTTACACACCTTCCACTCCTTTTTCACTCATTCACAATGATGTATGGGGACCCTTTGACACTGCCAACTACTTTGATTGATGACCATACTCAGATGATATGGGTCTATATTTTAAAAGACAAATCATAAGTTTTCGTCACCTTCAAAAACATCGACCCCTTTATTTTGACCTAATTCAAACCTCCAATTCAGTTCCTTCAGAACGACAATGGTCATGAGTTTTTTAACTCTATTTTGGGTGAATTCTTAGTAAAGACATCTTCCATCATCGCTCGCGTACGGACACTCAACAAAATGGGATAACCGAGGAAAAACTGATATCTCCTTAAGATTGCTCGCTTTATAATGTTTACATCACATGTCCTGAAATGTTTTTAGAATGATGTCATACTGACTATCACATATCTCATAAATAGTCCCCTCTAAAATTCACAACTTCTGAACCCCCATAGCTGTCTTGATGTTATGCTTTCTCGCCAACCGGCTTCACTTCAGATCCCAAAATATTTGGGCGCACAACCATTATTCGGAACACTACCCCCACTCAAAGTAAACTCGATCCCAAATCCATAAAATGTCTTATTAGGGCAGTCTACCACTCAAAAAGGGTATTGGTTCCTATCACAAACAAAATCTATGTGAGTGTTAATGTCTCATTTTTTGAAAAAAATCCCAATTTTCCCAACTCAACCTCAAGTGAGGGGACCAATCTCTTCTTTCAACATTCATTCAATGGCCAAATTGCTATTATTATCTTCAATGTCGACGATATTATGCTCAAAAGAAATGATCTACTGGCATTGGAGTCTTTGAAAGGCATTCTAGCGGCATCTTTTGAAATGAAAGACTTGGGATCCCTCTAATACTTCTTAGGCATGAAAGTTGTTCGGCCATCGTGAAGTATTTGTCTGTCTCAGCGCAAATATATGATTGACCTGTTAACAGAGAACAATTTGCTTCTGTGCAAACAAGTGGCTATCCCAATAAAAAGCTGTCTAATGTTTCCAATGTTAATCCTGTTAACGACTCACTACCAGCGCCTTGTGAGGAAATTCATCTGCACCGCTCATACATGCCCCAACATAAGCCACACAATTGGTATAGTAAGTCAATCCATGCATGACCCCTATGAGCACCATCTCCACGTTGTCCAACGGACTCTCCACTATTTAAAAAGCGCACCGGGCTCATGTTTGATTTTCACATGCCACACCTCTTGTTCTATTGTCGTTTATATAAATGTTGATTGGTTGGATCAGTCCATGGTCGACTATCTACCTCCGGGACCTGCACATTTGTGTGGGGAAATCTTGTCACGTGGAAAAGTAAAAAACAGTCGGTGGTTGCCCGAAGCAATGCTAAAACTAAATTCTGATTCATGTCTTTGGCGATCCGTGAAGTTCTAGTTACGCATCATGCTCTGCAAACTACGTATACCAACCTTTGGCCCTCAACAATTGTTCTGTGATAATAAGGTCACCATTAGCATCGCCCACAACTCAGCCTAGCATGATCATACCGAACATGTGGAGATTGACAGTCATTTCCTCAAGGAAAAACTTGAGTTCATGAAAATGTGTTCTTTATGTGCCCTCTAGTGATGAACTAGTGAATATCCTCACAAAGAACATTCCTCAACCGTTGTTTGATGACTTCAAATCCAAGTTGAGCATGATTGACATCTATGTTTCAACTTAAGAGGAGTATTAAAATATTAAAATAATAACATCTATTCCTAGTTGTTATTAATGTGCATATTGTTGTATTTTTTGCTTTCCCATTTCCCTTCATTCTGTTTTTATTTATTTCTTATGTCCCTTGTAATAGGGTTTATATGCCCCTCTTTCTATCAATAAAATATGTTGCTCTACTCCAATATTTCAACAATTCATATATTCTTCCTTTCATATGTATGTTATAATAAAAGATTTTGTTATTTTTACATGTATTGGTTTGCGTGTACCTAGTTATGGCAAGGTGGCGTAAGTGAACACAATACACGAAGAGTGTGGTTTGAGCCACACAGAGGAGGTCAACCCCCTCTACCCACCCAAGGGGTAGAAAATAATTCCATCTAAATACCACAATGGCTAGGGACCAAATCCATGACTTCTAGGATAAAAGCAAAGCATACGTACATCAAGCCAGAGTTATGCCCTCCAAATGCAAGATAAAAACCAACCATTTGCTTTAATATCATTAAGGCCAATAGCATGCATGATTTCAAGACTATGTAAAACCATTTGATTAAAGTATGCATAAAAAATTCATAATATACTGCTTTGATTGCATGAGAAAATAATTGTGATATCAAAACATATAATAATTTAAGGTTGGAGCTAAATTTGTGCATAAAGATTTGCATAGCATAAGTAATCTCATGCAGCACTAAAGAGGAATAAATGGAGAATGAGGATTCAAAAGCTGACCACAAATAGTAAGCTAAAAAAAAATGATGATAATCATAAATGTGTGTAATAATAAATGGCACGTTTTCTATACTAGAGCCTAATTCTACTCAAACAAAGGCTTTTAGATTCTAATGCAGAACTCCATAATTCAAGTTTTTCCTGAGCTCTTTCTCTAAACTTTATCCACAAGAAGGATATCATCAGCGAAAAACATACATCAAGGTACATCCTCTTGTAAATGTCCAGTAAGAGCATCCAAAACTAAAGCTAAAGCTCCAAAACTAAAGCAAAAAACAAAGAGCTTAAATTTGATCCCTGATGTACTCCAACCGAAATAGTAAAATATTTGGTCAATCCTCCTGCTCAAACACAAGTAACAAAACTATATACATATCTTTAATGACTTGAATATAAGTCATATCAAAACCTTTATTCTCTAGAACTCTCCAAATGATATCTTTTGCAAACTTATCATACGCTTTTTCTAAATCAATAAAAAACATGTGTAGATCCTCTTTATTCTCTATGTATTTCTCCATCAAACCTCTCAATACATGTATAACTTCAATAGTAGACCCGCCAGGCATAAATCCAAACTGATTATGAAAATTTTTTTAATACTTCTTAAACTATGTTCAGTTACTCTCTCCCATAGTTTTAGAATATGACACATGAACTTAATTCCTCTATAATTTACACACTCTTGTGC